GTGGCCCGCCAGTGGGATCCTTTGAACATGGCCTCCACTGGGAACATGCTTCACAATGGTGAGGGGTTTCCCACGCGGGGTGAGCATTGAAAGATGTAAGTGGAACAGACGGGTACAGGGTTTCGGCCCCCAAGGAGGAGGTGCCGGGAGCGCTGGGGCATTGTGGGAAGTGCTTTGTATTCATGCCTGTCAGTGTGAAAGAAGCTGTTTGCATATATTTGCATGTATATACAACCACACTTAAGTTGTGGCCCTCGGTATGTGCTGTGAGTATCATTGTGACCCCCGGGGCTTCCAGAGTTGAGTAGCCCTGGAGTAGACTATATGCTCTTCAGGGCAGAGACTGTTTCTCACTATGGCTGTGTGTAGCCTTGCCAGTTTTTCCAGAAAATCAGCCGCTTTTCTGGAAAAACTTGCCAGCTGTCTACACTGGCCGCTTGAATTTCTGCAAAAGCACTGACTTCCTACTGTCTGAAATCAGTGCTTCTTGCGGAAATACTATGCTGCTCCCATTCAGGCAAAAGGGCCAGTGTAGACAGCTCAGATTTGTTTTCCGCAAAAAAGCCCCGATCGCGAAAATGGCAATCGGGGCTTTTTTGCGGAAAAGCGCGACTAGATTGGCACGGACGCTTTTCTGCAAAAAGTGCTTTTGCGGAAAAGTGTTCATGCCAATCTAGACACTCTTTTCCAAAAATGTTTTTAACGGAAAACTTTTCTGTTAAAAGCATTTCTGGAAAATCATGCCAGTCTAGACGTAGCCTATGTGTTCGCACAGCATCTTTCACACTAGGGCCTGATCTCAGCTGGAGTATTAGCATAACACAAATAATAATGGTCATAGAATATTATTAGAAAAGTGGCAACATACAACAATAATGTTGGGAAATGAACATAACTTTTGAATGTGATTCTTTTTTTTGTGGGGAGGGGTGGGAGGAACAGGGGCAAAGTTGGCCAGCCCCATCATGTTGTGGACCCAGCAATTTATTTTTCAGTGACACAGATATCTGGAGGTTGCAATCTGCCTCTCTAGTTCTCAAGTACAGTCTTGCAAATAGTCCTGCACAGTTATTTTCTTGCTAGTCAAATACCTGGAGGAAAGCAGGTGTTTGAGGATTTTTTTTCCTTTTCCTTCAATGGTTCAATAGGAATTTCCCCCTTCAAGGCTTCTGACTGATTAATCATAAACTAAGTCACATGAGTTTGGCTTGAGTACAACAATTACCCTGCGAAAGGAAAGAGGATGGATGTGTGAAAAATAAAATAAACCAACAAGCAAAAATAGAGATTTTTGTCTCTTTTCTCCCACTCCACTCATTTTACAGAGAAGGAAATGATTTGACCACCTCCCTGAAGGTTGTTTCTCTATTAGTGTGAACAAGATACATTGTGGAATATTCCTCCCTTTGTTTTATGATTTGCTTTATCTTGTAGTTTTGCAAACAGTTTGCAGTCAGGATTGTTTCCTGAAGCAGTCAAGGTTAATAAGAAACCAAAAAAAAAAAAAAAAAACCCCAGCTAACCAACCAATGTAAATAAGGGGGTCTTCCCACATTTCCTAGATTCCCCAGAGCCTGATGGGACCACTGTCATCATCTGGTCTGCATAACATGGGTCATGGAACTCCCCGAAAATAATTCCTATTTGAACTAGAGAATATAATGTGGAAAAACATCCAAGCTTGATTGCCCGTGAAGAATCTACCACAACCCTTTAGCCAATGCTTAATCACCCTCAGGGTTAAAAATGTATGCCTTATTTCCAGTCTTAATTTATTTTGCTTCAATTTCCAGACATTGTATCACATTCAGAGGTGAAACTAACTTAAATTTCTTACTGGTAGGGTTGTATTGCACACCCTCCTGGGGGGGTCAGGGCAGAGAGTGGAGGGGTGTTGTGATACAACAGGATGTGTAAGAAATGTAAGTGTGGGGTGGCGTGTGAAGACTCAAGACAGGGTTGTGGTGGGTGAGGGGGGCTCAGGACTGGGGATGGGAATATGGGGGGTGCAGGAGTCAGGGCAGGGGCTTGGAGTGATGGGGGCTCAAGGCAGAGAGCAGAATATGTGTGAGGGGTACAGAAGTCAGGGATGGACCGGGTGTGAGGAGGGACTCAGCAGAGTGTTGAGGTGTGTTGGGGGTGCAGGACTCAGGGCTGTGGGTATGAGGAGAGGCTCAAGGAAGAGTGTGTGCGTGGAGGGGTACAGGAGTCAGGGTTAGGAGTGTAAGGAGGAGCTCAGAGCAGGGGGCTGTGTGTGTGGAAGGAGTGCAGGAGAGCAAGAATGCTATTTAGGGAGAGCTGGGGGCCTGAAGTCTCCTGCCTCCTCCAGATTTGTACAAGATGCCACTTGCTATTTCTCTCCATCATTGCCAGAGAGCAAAAGCACTTCACATAGCATGGGTCACTCCCTCCTTCTCTGTCCCCTCCCCTTCCGTCCACCAGGGGAGAGAGTAGTACAGGGACAAATGCTGACAGAAGGGGAATAGCAGCAGCATCTTGGTACCTATCTTGAGGGAGGGGCCTTCACTCCTTCTTGTCCTCCCTAAATAGCACCCTGGGAAAGGGGGACAGGGATAGAGCAGTCCCCTACTAGTGTGGGGGCAGGAGACATGCCTTTCGCCAACTCCTGTAACTTGTTGGGCTGCCTGCTATTTAGTGCTGCAGCTTTCAGGAGACCCCCAGGAGCCAGGCAGGGAGCCCGCCCCACCTCCTGGAGCCCAGTTTGCCAGCTGGCTTGAGTTGCACCAGGGCACACTGTTATACTTTCACCTCTGCTGTTTCCAGTGCAGGTACTTATAAGCTGTGATAAAGATAAGCTAAATATATTAAGTCTATAAGAATGCTTTGCAATCCTTTATTTGTTCTCAGGCCTTCTTGATTTGGGGACTGAACCCTCTCAGCCTTCTTGATTTGAGGACACCAAAATTGGACACAATATTCTAGCAGCATCTGCAGTGGTGCCAAAATCAGAGGTAAAATAACCTCACTGCGCCTACTTCAGATTCCTCTGGTCATGCATCCTAGGTTCACATTACTCTTTTGGCCACAGCATCACACTGGGAGCTCATATTCAACCGATTATCCACTACACTCTTTTTCAGAGTTACTGGTTCCCAGGATAAAGTTCCCTATTATGAGGCATGGCCCTCCCCTAAGTTCAGTGTTCCTGGCTGTACACATTTACATTTAGCCACATTAGCATATTGTTTGTTTTCACCCTCTTCATTATTTACCACTTCTGCAATCTTTGGATCTGTGCAGGCAGAACCCTGCCTTGAATGATGACTATGACCCTGACAAAGCAAACACTTTATGCAGGTGAAAAAAAAATGACTCATCTGAGAAGTCAGTGGAATTTCCCGTGTGAATAAAGTTACAAACACTGGTTGCCAGTTCCTGGCCTAAGGCTCTGATCCTGCAGTGAGCTCCTAATCGGCAAGCCCTTAAGCCTGCCTAGAGCCCCACGCACTTCAGTGGAGTTGTGTCATCAGGGCGGTGCGTTGTAGTTAGGTTACTGAAGAACTGCATAGCTGTGCCAAAAACGGTGTGCCACTTCCTTCTGAAAGCATCAGCAATTGCCAGCCAGGTTTGCAGGCTAACACGCAGTTGCTGGCAGTTGAACAGCTGGTCTTGTCTTTTCCTCCCCAGCTGCACCACAGGTCCTCAGCGGATCCAATGCGCATGGAAATGTCCTGGAGCAGCGTGGGGTGTGTTTTTTTGTTGTTTTTGCAGGATCGGGCCACTCTAGGCTTCTCCTCCAGCCAGCGGGGTCTATTTTTATTTGATCAAAACATTCCCCAGCAGGGCTGGTAACCCAGCCCCTCCTGACACGTGTTTCGCGCACAAGGACTTGAAAGCAGACTGGCCTGAACACGGGCCAGCAGCAACAAGGACTCGTCGAGCCAGGGAAGCCCCAGTTACCAAGCCGCTCTCCAGGCTCCGCTTTCACCACTAGGCCGAGAAGCAAACGGAGCGCACGTCTCC